TGCTCCATATTTAAGGAACTTTAAATATCCATATTTAAGGAACTTTAAATTTTGATAATTCAGATCTTTTAGGATAACTGTGTTTAAATATGAATACTGGCTGAAGACAGTTGTAGCTGCCAGATTTCATGAGATTAGAGAAATACCTTTTTTTTACTGTTTTTAAGTTTTTATTTTGATTCCAGTTAAAATACGGGGTTATGTTAGTTTCATGTGTACAATGTAGCAATTCACCAGTTGTACAGGTCTCCCGGTGCTCATCAAGACAAGTGCCCTTCTTAATCCCAAACCCTAGAGAAATACCTTTTTGTGTTTTCTACAGTCCAAATGAGAGAAGTCTTGGTATGTGCATCAGTTACTAAATGCACTGTCCCCATATCAGTATTTGAATGAATTCATCCAGACCTTTGCAGGTTTCCTACAGGATTTCTCTCTCCCCAGAACCTCTAGGAGTGCCCCCCCGCCTGGCTCACAGGTTTCCTGTGACAATCTGGTTTTTCTGGGTATGCTTAGACACCCTCCTAGTGTCTGCCTGCAGGGATGTGCTCTGGGGACTCACTCCTGGCCTTGCTTCCTCAGTTGCAAACCAGCATGCGGGGAAATGCTGCCCCTAGTTGAAGGTTGGGGCAGAACCGCCTACTTTGGTCTCTTCTCATTTCTTTTTTTTTTTTTTTTTAAACTTTTTAACGTTTATTTATTTTTGAGACAGAGAGAGACAGAGCATGAACGGGGGAGGGTCACAGAGAGAGGGAGACACAGAATCTGAAACAGGCTCCAGGCTCTGAGCTGTCGGCACAGAGCCCGGCGCGGGGCTCAAACCCACGGACCGTGAGATCATGACCTGAGCCAAAGTTGGACGCTTAACCGACCGAGCCACCCAGGCGCCCAGGTCTCTTCTCATTTCAATGCCTTCCCCCATCCTCCCCCACTCACTTCCCCTCCTCCACCCCCCCTTCCCTTACCTCTACGTAACCCCAGGATTCCAAGGAAAGCAGTTTAGAAGTGACCAGTACAAACAGATCCCACGTCGAGCCATAATCCCGCTGTGCAGTTTTGTTCTGCTCTGGGGTGTCTGGCTCATCCTGACCATTGCTGAGAAACTTCTTTCCCCTTTTTAGTAAAAACCGCTCTTTCACCTAGTATTTCTATTTTGGGGAAGACTTAACTCCATTCATCCGATGATATAGGTAGAGAACCTTGAAGTCATCCTTGGCTCTTCCCGATTTCCACTTCCGCTTTGTTAGCAAATCACCTTGCTTTTCTGCCTTCAGAGTATGCCCCACTCTGCCCGCCTGGGCAGCCTCTTTTTCTGTTTCTCTGCTAGAAACTACAGCGGCCAGCTGGCCGCCTTTGTTTTCTCACTGTTTCTTCCCCGCAGCCTCATGTAGCGGTTCGGTATGCCTGCAGTATACCTGGCTCTACTGTCACATGACCCTGAGTGTGTTAATTAGCCTTTCTGGGACTCCGTTTCCCTCACAGTTAAATGAAGACCAGGATAATGATACTTTTTACCTCGTGTGGTTGTATCAGAGGAGGTCTTACACGCAAATCTCTTAGAACAAGTGTGGGCAGATGGTCAGCATCTGGCAAACGTCAGCTAGTAGGTGATACTGAGGTTATTGCAGTTGCCATGTTTTATGCATCCAGAACTGAAACCGACCTTCTTGAAACATTGATCAGATATGTTTCCATTGGCTTTGTGTCCCTTTTAGAACAGTATCCGAAGTCCTTACCATGGCTTGCTGAACCCTTCCTAATTTCCCTTGCTCACTCCAGTCCAGCTGGCCTGCGATGGTTTTCCACTTGGCCCAGCCATTTCGGCCTTTGCTCTCATTTTCCGTCAGCCACGGTGCTCACCCACAGATATTTGCACAACCTGCCACTCCCTTCATTTTAGTCTCTGCTCAGATGTGAGCTCCTCAGAGAGGTCTTCCTTGATTTCTGTTCTAGAAATCATCCTGTTTTCTGTGTCCTTCAACTTTATGAAAAGATAACTACCTAACATTATATCTGTTTATTGGTTATTTATTCACTACACTAAGTTCCATAATAAATGAAAACAAGGGACTCTGTTTTGTTCATCATTGTAGCCCCTCCCTACCAAGGCCTTTCAGGTACATAGTTGATGCTCAGGGGGTGTTTGCTATGGGATGGATGGGGTGGGGTGGTGGGTGGATGAACGAAGAAAAATTTTCCCCTTTGTTCTTTGCTCAAGATATGCTCAGGTTACCAGATAGCTGGAGAGGCCTCAGTGAACTTTTTTTAAGATGAGATCACTTTAGAGAAGGCTTCAGGTTGGGTGTTTTGGTTTTGTTTTAAGTTTGTTTTATTTATTTTGTGAGAGAGAGTGTGTGCACGCACTCGCAGGGGGGGGGCAGAGAGAGAGAATCACAAGTAGTCTTCCCGCTATCATCATGGAGCCTGCCTGACATGGGGCTTGATCTCACAAACCATGAGATCGTGACCTGAACCGAAACCAAGAGTCGGATGCTTAACTGACCGAGTCCCGCAGGTACCCTGAATTGGTACCTTCTTATACTACTGTTCAAGGTCTGCTACACATGCCTTTCCTAGCTGCTAGTGACAAGGAAATTATTTGGGTTTATTCAGTCCACTGAGCTCATGCTGTTCTGCCTGTTACTACCAACCTCAAGTCCCAAGAGAAAGCATGTAAGTCTATCTGGAATCAGAAAAAATAGAGACGTATGGAATGTTTACCAAAAATTCTGCTTCTGAAAGAGCTGTAGGTCCAGGCTGTTTATGAAAATGTGATTTTTTTTTTTTTTTTAAGCCTTCAGGTTTAAAATGCTTCCTAGTCTCTCAGAGATGGAACACTGAGTTACTTATTCACTAATCAGTTGAATATGAATTTTAAAAATTAGCATTTGCCATTTATCCTTTAAATAATGATGTAACTTAATTAGTGTGTAATAACTTTATACTAATTCATTGACATTAATACTGACCCTATTAAAAGAAAAAATACTGACCCTATTGACTTCAATCCATGAAGAGATTGGAGAAGTGAAAGATTTCGGGAATAAGTGTGACCATCTTTATTTTTGTTTTTTGCATAATTCCTGAGGTTTTTTGTTTTTAATCACTCTTTCTAATTTCAGTTGGTTACTATGTACTACGGTCGTAGAACCTATGAGTTCTTTTAGTGCTTTCTATTTTAGACCTCTCTTCACCTTCGTGTTTATTAACCCAATGGTCTTCTGAACTACATCTTGTTATAATCTGAGTGAAAAAACGACTTTCTTTCTGGTTTGAGGAGTGAGTCACGTGCTAATTTTACACTTAGCCTTTTTTTTTTTTTTCCCTTAAAGTCACTGACAAATGAGTTAATGTTTGGGGTTGAACTAAATTCAGAGACAGTGTCAGATTGGGTGTTTGGCCGTCAGACAGTAATAATGTAAGTGTTCTTTGGTTGAGCTCATGGATGATAGAAGTCTCCCCTGGAGCAGAACAAAGACTCATTTGATCTTGATTATCAGTACGAATGAAGGTGAAAGTAGTTCCTGAATCCTTCTGACCTTTGGGGTTTTAAGCAAGGGCACATGGCTTGTAACAGCCAAGTGATACTCTCTGATTCTTTGATGTCAGTTCTTCCCTTCACCGTGAAGCAGATTTCCCCAGGCTTTGGATTACTCACCAACCTACCTTTGTAGTCTTTGTGTCAACGTAGAATATCTTCGCCTTTTCTTACCTACAAAATACGGTTTTTGTTTAGGAGAATGTAAGTGTAAAAGTAGTCCCAAATCAGAGATTTCTTTTATAAAATGTTTTTATTCATGTATGTATAGACTTTTAAAACCATCATCGTTATTATTACAGGCTATGGTTGCTTGTTATCCAGGCAACGGAACGGGTTATGTACGTCACGTTGATAATCCAAATGGAGATGGAAGATGTGTGACGTGTATATATTATCTTAATAAAGACTGGGATGCCAAGGTATGCAGCTTGCTTGACCGTTCTTTTTTTTTTTTTTCTCATAGGTATTAAGACTCAGATTCCTCTTAGGTGAGACTGTCTTTCACACATGGAATAGTTTAAAATTTCTTAGATTTGTTCTAGTCTTGGGTATTAGGAGTGGATCTTTGTAAGTGAAATCTAATAATATGTCTCAAAAAGTGGATTCCCTTGTTTTCAGATATTAGAGCATTCATCCAAATGTAACATTTTGTTGTGGTTGTTGTTGTTTTTTCTCTTTTAAGTAAGCTCTACTCCCAACTGGGGGCTCGAACTCACGACCCCGGGATCAAGAGTCGCATGCTCTACTGATGGAGCCAGCCAGGTGCCCCCCCAAATTTAACCCATACCAAAATGTATTTAATTAAAATATATATGTTTTAGTGGCTTTTATAAAAAACACTTCTGAGAACACTTGTTTTATAACGGCTTTTGAGGGAGATTATATATAAATAATTATTATGGGTTATTTCCTACTTCTTCTTGTTGCAGAGATACTGTCTGGCATTGGGTTATTGAATTGAATATTGGAGGCAGGATTCCTTCTCTCCTGATTATGGAAAAACTAGAAGTTTATCAGTGCTGACAAATCCTGTAAAACCTACTAGAGTTTACAGTACATTTTCTCTTGTTTTAAATATTTATTTCCTTATATTAGCCTGAGTTTCACTTGAGTTTAAATGATTGAAACCTCAGAAGTATGTCATGCTTTGTTACTGCTTTGTAGGTTGTTTAAACTAATTTTGGGTTGATTTTTTAAAAATCTGTATTTACTTTTATTGAAGCAAAATATTCAAATAGAAAAATGAACACACTGTATATAATAGCCCTGTGGATTTTCAGAGGGAACACACCTGTATAGCCAGGGTAATTTTTTTTTAATGTTTCTTCATTTTTGAGAGAGAGAGAGAGAGAGAGAGACAGAGACAGAGACAGTGTGTGTGTGTGTGTGTGTGTGTGTGTGTGTGTGTGTGTGTGTGTGAGCGTGAGCGGGGGAAGGGCAGAGACAGAGGGAGACAGAATCTGAAGCAAGCTCCAGGCTCTGAGCTGTCAGCACTGAGTCTGACATGGGCCTCGAACTCATGACCCATGAGATCATGACCTGATTTGAAGTCGGATGCTTAACTGACTGAGCCACCCAAGTGCCCCAGTAATTTTTAAAAATCAAATAACCTTTAAACACTTCCCTCCCACAAACAAACATATACACAGAAATGGAAAGCACCAAGTCTTAATTATGTAAAAACCTAGTCCTATCCTAAATCATACCCTAAAACCTAAGGCATGCTCACAGTGTTGTTCTAGTAATCTTTCTGTGTTACACTGATTTAAAGATTTTCCTCTGGTTTTGCCCAAGTTCAAAATGAAGGTAAGTTTTACTACTAAGTAGATGTTGAGGCATTACAACGTGCATGGTTTTTCTATTACAGCTTTCAAAGTTTAAAAGAAAGAAATTTGGTCATTCACCTTGAGCCCAACATACAAAACAGATTGATGTAACTTCGGTTAAAACTTAAAAAATATTTCTCCCCAATTCTGTGAATATCTTGACAGCTAGAAATATGTTTGAACAACTCCTAACTTCTGTATTTTGTTAGGTTCTTTCTAGGCTGATCTCCTTTTAATTTTGATATGACCTAGCCAAGGTCATTAATACGTAGTTTCTAAATTAGTACATAAGAAGAAAAAAGTCATTAGGATTTTTGTATATAGATCTAAAAGCTTCCATTGCAAGATTACACTGAGTATGTACAGCATGCCAGACATCATTCTGGATGCTGGAAATAGACCAGAAATAGAAATAACCCTCATGGAGCTTGGAATCTAGTGGAGGGAACAGATGAGTACATTAACAATTGCTTATGCCCAGTGCAGGATAGATTGCTGTGGGACCACGTAGGGGGCCACCTAATTCAGGGTTCAGGGAAGGTTTCCCACAGGGGGATTGGAAGCTTTAATTACCTGTTTTCAAATATTTTCAGCAGATCACCTGTGATATTCCCAGTGACTCCAGTCAAAGGGCAAGGGGAAGAAAGGATATGTTCTTGGTCACAGTCTAGAGATTCTTTTAGATGTTTGCATGAGTGCCACGGGAATCCATCTGAAGAGAGCCTGAGGAAGGCAGGCCAGGGTACACAGTAGCTCAAATTTAACTTAAGGATGAGCCTGATAAACAGCTTGTCTACAGATTCTGGGCATAGGCTCAACCTCCTTGATGTCTTGATTAAGTATGAGTTCCTTTCAGTTTTAGAATCTACCTGCTTAGGAGTTCAGTTCTTCAAGGGTAAACAGCTACTCAGTTGGGTGGGTTTTGCCTCACTTTAATTCCCCCCAGATTGTAAGTATCACAAGGACAGCATCTGTGTGCACTGTTCCCTCCTCTGTCCTGAGGGCCCGGCACAGGTCCCAGAACAGTAGACACTCGGTTGGTATGGGAATAAATAGGTGAGTCCATCTGATCCCAGATAGAGAAGGATGTGTATTTGGGTGAATAGTAATTATCCTTTCTGGATGGAATCCAGTGCTGTAAGCAGCTAGCCATCAATGTGTGAGGCCCAGTCTTGCAAGGGAGAGCCCCCATTTCTAATCAAATGACCGCAGTGATGATCATAAATGAGGACACTTTCTACTGATAGGTTGAATTCCTTAAGTAAGAGCCATTAAATTTGTGACTGTCCTGTTAATTACTGTTGAACGTTAAAACACAGTAAGCCCTTTATTTGACATACTTAGCCATTTATAGTAATTGAAACGGACACATTTTTAAAGAATAGGCTAATTAAGCATATCATTAGCATACCCAAATCAGAAAGGTGTAATGACTAGTTCTTAAAACTTCCAAGTGTCATGTTTAAGCCTTTTGAATTCAGAATATTCATCTGTTTCACCAAATATTTACAAAAAAGTCCCTGAAAAAAATGAATTTTTCCTCATATCACTGCATGTACTTGGAATCTCAGCTCCTTTTCATACCTTGTTAATTGGAATGTATTTGTGAATAATCCAGTTAAGAATTTTGATTCTGAAATGATCTCCCCCCGCCCCCCATCAATTTAATTTTATAGTATTCTTACTCTCATACTCAAATATTTGGCTCTTTTCCTTAGGTAAGTGGAGGTATACTTCGAATTTTTCCAGAAGGCAAAGCCCAGTTTGCTGACATTGAACCCAAATTTGATAGACTGCTGTTTTTCTGGTCTGACCGTCGCAACCCTCATGAAGTACAACCAGCATATGCTACAAGGTAGTATTCCTTTTAAGAAAAATTTGGGAAAGACTGTGGTAGGAGGGGATAGATAGGATATACTTGAAAGTTTTCTGCTATCTTCCTGTTCTCGAGTAATCTTTATCATAATGCTTCAGTCATAACTTTTAATTTGGATAATTTTATATGATTTATTCCCAGTTCAGTGCCAAGCGTTTGTGACTTTCTTTGCACAGCCACTTATGTTTAGGCTAAGGAATGGAAATACAGGCCATCTGTCTCCAGCCCTGTCTCCTTGTCTTATGCATCTCTAACTACTATCCATTCTGCAATTCTGCGATAGTCATTTGGGGGATAGAAGGATTCTACAGAGAAGGAAAAGGGCAGTTTTTTAAAAGAGAGTGAGGGAGGAAAAAGAGGGATAATGTAGAAAAATTTTACAAAACAGAAAAATCAGAAGCACTCAGAGAGTAGAAGTGAGGGGGAAAAAGTTGCCATGTGTGGGAGTTCACGTTAGCCAAGTAACTCTTCAGCTTTAATAATAAGCATCTGTGAGCCTTATTATATATTCTTTCTGCCATTTTCCTACATTGAAATGTTAAGAGTATTAAAATGGAAGATGTTGCGGACCTCATTATAAATATTTATAGAAAAATAGCACTGTTTTTCCGATACCCACTTTTCATTACGGAAGGGACCTTGAGCATCATGGTAGTGAATTACCGGCATTCAGCGGGTAGGTGGGGGCAGAGGAGGCCTAGCCTCAGATACAACAGGAGAAGAGCGGGCTTTACCCGGTGATGCTGGCATGGGCCAGCCCCAGTGTGGCTCCAATTCCAAAGACTTTGTTGTCATCTCTCTTTTTCCTTCTTTGCATTTTTTTTGTTTGAAGTAATCCCTATACCCAGCGACCTCCGAGGTCAACAGTTGCATGTTCTGCCGACTAAGCCAGCCAGGTGCCCCTCTTTTCTTCCTTCTGAGCTGTGTTGCCTTTAACCCTGATTCACACAGCTGGTAGCAAGCCTAGTAGTTTGTGGTAAGAGATCCTAAGAAGCCACAGATGGAAACCAGGGGGGATCCTGTCCCATCAGATGATGTGCCCGTCCTGACTCTCCCATCACTCCTGCTGGCACCCGGTGCCCGTCTCTGCTCCTGCTGCTTCTTTAAAACCCCTTTGACCTAGAAACGGCTTCATAGACCTTCCTTTTTATGGAATCTTGAGTATGGTCTGCTTGTATCATTTCTAGATAAATAGAGAGTGGACATTTTTAGGTAGTGAATGCCAAACAGCTGTGGAGAGTAGGTGCTACAGGACGTTGGAAGAGGGAGAGAGTGGCATTAATTGGAAAAGATGGACTAGATGAGCCAGGTGTCACAGTGAAGAGAGGAGCTCAGCTGGGCCCAGAACGACCAGAAGCGCAGAGTTAACGTGAGGAGGACTCTTGAGTAGGTTGATGGGAGATCAGGGCAGAAGAATAGAATGGCGTGTGAGTTTGCAGCTGTGTTCTGGTGAGGACTGCTGGCTAGAGAAGGGGTTGATCCAGATGGGAGGACTCCGATTACTAAGTAACTGAAAATTTGGGGCAATATCTGTGCGCCTTTCCCATTGCCAAGGCCACTGGGAAAAATAGAAGAGGCTACATGGTTAGAAGGGTGCTGGAGCTCTGGAAGGAGCAGAATCTGGAAGTCAGGAGGCCTCATTTTGACCTCCTTGTTGTCACTCAGCAGCTGAGTGATCTGTGAACCTCACTTTGCCCAGTTGTCCAGACTCCCAGACTCTGACTCTCCTCTGCCTTTGACTCCTTCCTTGAGACGCCTACACGATTCAGTTCTCATTCAGTTCACATTCACGGGCTCTTCATTCGATCCGTGTTGCTCCCCCACCAGGGAGCCCTGGCCAGAATCTGCATGATGGTTTCATTGTTGTGTTCTAAGGAATTACCATTTATAGGGTGTTTTTACTTCCTGTGTGTGTGTGTGTGTGTGTGTGTGTGTGTGTGTGTGTGCACTTTGCCCATTATTGGTACCAGAAGCTGTAACTGTGCTCTGTAGTATTTGATAAACCAGAGATTCTTCCTTTATTTGTGGAATGAGCTCTTCCAATTAAGTGAAGTTTTCAGAGGAATGGAGTTCAGCTAAATAAACTTGAAATGTTAAAACAGAGTGTAATTGTTTTGGTAAAAATCCTGAGAACTCTTAGCATAATTTGAAGTCTTTCTTGATGGCTCCAGGTTATAAACTTGTAAACGTCCCTCAGTCTTTGCGGTAATTCAGCGACATCCTCAGAAGCGGTTCAAACTGTTAGCCCTCCTCCTCTCCACAGGACCCCAGGCCTGGGGTTCTGTTCTGTGGAACTTAATGCTATTGATAGTGTGCTTTTTCTGTAATGGCCAGTTCTTTTACCTTCTTATTGTCTGTTTCCGATCTACTGTGGGCTTGCAAAACAGATAATCAAGCAGGTTAAGTAGGTGGTAAGAACATCATAAAAACTCATCAACTTGGCAACATCACTGTTAGGTGCTCTTGCCCTCTGCTATACTCTTGAGCATTGAGCTTCCTGGAGAGGTGGGTTGTTATCCTCTGAGATCATTCAGTTTAGGCATTACTTTGGCATTACACGTTTTAATAGGCTGTTGGAAGAGCTTACCACTTTTTTTCTTCCCCCCGGTGTGATCATTCTTAACCCTATTCTAAATTTTCTTGTAGGTACGCAATAACTGTTTGGTATTTTGATGCAGATGAGAGAGCGCGAGCTAAAGTAAAATATCTAACAGGTAAACATTATTTGGGGCCAGGGTCTACCGCAGGGAAAGCGCCCGCAGTCAGGCGGTGCTGTCCGTGAGTGTGAGCGCAGACACAGCCTTTATTAATACCACAAAGACTTGCTCCTTATTTCTGTCAGATTCCTTAATTCCCTTAGGTAAAAGAGGACTTCTCTGAAGCTCTCTTCATTGTTCTCATTAACCAACAAAATTATTCAAAGATTAGGAAAGTTTGAGGCAAGAAACCTTCAGAAAATTATTCAGACACAAGCTGAGTTTTTCTGTGATTATATCCCTTTCAATCGCAGGCTGCCAAACACTTTTGATAACTGCCATCTGGCTTCCTCTCATGCTCCTTTTAGCAGGAAGTTCATAAGTATGCTTTCCTTTTTATTTTTTACTTTTTTTTTAAAGTTTATTTATTTATTTTGAGAGAGAGAGAGAGAGAGAGAGAATCCCAAGTAGGTTCCGCACTGTTAGCGCAGAGCCCAACACGGGGCTCCAACCCACAATGAGATCATGACCTGAGCTGAAACCAAGAGCTGGATGCTTAACCAACTGAGCCATCCAGGTGCCCCAGTACCCTTTCCTTTTTAAAAGTACGTGCTCTAATGAATATGTAAAGAATCCAGGTTTTCCACATTGAATGTGAATTTGTGAAGAACATTAATACAAAGGAGATGAATTGAAATGCTGAAACCATTAAGTGAGGCGTGCTGAGTCTGTACCTGCCAGTGGTGTCCATGGACCAAACACACTTGCACCAGATCTGAAGATCCTTCGGTGTGCTGGCCTCCCCTGCCGTCCCTACCACGGACTCTCTCCCAGGAGAAGTGGGTCTTTTCTAACAGATGGACCACTTCCTTCTTTAACCCTACCCTATATCTCCAAAGGCTGCTCAGTGCTCACATTACTGATTAGCTGTATTTTCATGAGCCGTCGATAATCCTACATCAACCTTTTATAAAACTATAAAATTGGGGGCGCCTGGGTGGCTCAGTTGGTTAAGTGTCTGAGTTTGGCTCAGCTCGTGATCTCATAACTTCTGAGTTCAAGCCCCGTATCAGGCTCTGTGCTGACACCTCAGAGCCGGGAATCTGCTTCGGATTCTGTGTCTCCTCCTCTCTCTCTGCCCCTCCCCTGCTCACACTCTGTCTCTCTCTCAAAGGTAAATAAAACATTAAAAAAAAATTTTTTTTAACCCTATAATTGGATGTTTGTGCTTTTAAGTTCTTATTTGTGGCAGAACCCTAGTGGTGAGCTTTCAGTGACAACACACTGCTATTTTGTAGCAATTCACGTTGCTTTTGAAGTGAAAAGGAGATAAAATCATGATCACTGTAGAGAATGGCTTTTCCTTTTGAAGGTTTACTAGTTCAGAGTAATGCATCAGTTACAACAGTGCTGCCGGTAGATTTTAAGAGTGAGAGTGTGATCGTTTTCAGGGGATGTATGTTTGCAAAGCTGAGGCATGGTGCACACTGTTAGCTCAGTGGGAAGCAGTAACAGAAGCTATCTGGTGCTTAATGAATGAGTAATAATTGTTGTGTTTTTTTTTTTTGTTTTTTTTTTTTTTTTTTGCCTTGCAGGCGAAAAAGGTGTGAGGGTTGAACTCAATAAGCCTTCTGATTCAATCAGTAAAGACGTCTTATAGAGCCTTTGATCCAGCAATACCCCCCTTCACCTACAGTAATTGTTGACACGATTTGTTAACTTGTGAATACAAATAAGTGGGATAAAGACAAATAGACAACCAGTTGGCATTTTAATAAGGAAACAGAAACAACTTCTTTGTGTTGCATCAGAAGGAAGATCTGGACTGCGTGACTTTGTACTGCATGATCGACTCCAAACCTGTGATTGCTAATGGGAAGAGTATAAGCCACCAGCTGACAATGGTATTGACATCTGGACATGAAATAAGTGCCCTCGGTAGAATTTTTTCATTCTTAATATTTTGCCAGATCTGTCATCTAGATGAGTTCATTTCATCGCTCCCTTTTTTATATAGTCAAGTTTGAATTTGAAGTAATTTTTGTATGATCAGGTACAATATATCAAAACTGAATTGAGAAAAAATTACAGTATTATTCCCCAAAATAGCATTGATCTATTTTTGTAAACTTCTTCGTACTATTAAATTTTGCCCTAAAAGACCTCTCATAATGATTGTTGCCAGTGACTGATGATTCCTTTCATTTTCTTTTTACCTAACGTAAGAAAAGGAGCACTTTACTCACCAACTAAAAAATCAGATTGTTTTGTAGTCCCGTCTTGTACACTAATTTGAACTCTTAAAAATTGCTGCTGTCGTTTTTTTGACATTGTTAATGGAACATAACAGTACAAACCATCACCATTTACTACTACAAATAACTTTCAGTTCACATTTTATAAGAAAAAATACCCGGAAGGCTTTATTTTTTAAGTTAGAATTTTTACAAGACTAAAGTGACTGGCACTAAATGAACTTGATCTGCCCTCCGCATCAAGTTCCCGAGATAAAGGGCTTTCTCACGCTTTCAGGTATATTCTGTAGATGTAGAAGGTAACGTCCCCTTCCTAAGAGCTCTCCTTCCCAGCCAGTCAGTCGTACTTCCAATTTTGCTGTTATGTTTTCCTCCTCCTGCGACCCACGTGATGTGCAGATCAGAACCTTGCTTCTGTTGGATGGCGTCGGGGCGGGGGCGGGCGGACAGAGCGCCAGGGCTGAGCCGAGGTAGCGCAGACCACTGCTGAGGCAGGTATTCCCTAGGCGTGATACTCGCCTCCTTGTCAGTACTGGAAGGTGTGTGTTTAGCTTAAAAAAACAAAAGAAGTGGAAAACCAGATGATTTTTTCTGTTTTATGATTTTTCTTTTACTTTTCAGAAGAAGAGGGAATATTACAGTATCACACAAGGCCTCCCAGATTTCTGTTTTTTGATATATGAACTGGGATGGATACATAAGACTTCATTTTCCTGGGCGAGTCTTTAGCAGAGCCCAGAGGGTGGTATCCGTATTTAACGTGAATTAGGGTCTAGACCTTGCCCACTTCAGTTTTCTATCTCTGTCCTTAATCTTTGCCAAAATGTGTGTACAGAAATATTTCTGTATATTTCAACTTATGACAGTTTTAGTATCTGTATAGTTTGTATTCAATTAGAGACCTTTTCTATGGAAAGCTCAGTAATTTTTATTAAAAGATTGCTATTCATGTAAAACATGAAAAAAAAATCTAGTGAGACCAACAGTGTGGACTTAGGGTGGGGTTAAATATTCAGTATCGTGATCTCACTTAGAACTTCAGGAGAAAATTAGAGCTTATGGTTGTTTTTCCTTGCCCGTGTTCAGTTTTGTTCCACTTCCTCTCTCTGTTCCAGATAATGCAATGTAACATCTTTCTAGTAAGTGCCTCTGCCAGCCGGACCTGGGAGAGCAAGCTGTCTTTGCCATCTGGTCTGCGTGCGGCACGCTGCACTTGGCCTTGACTCAGAAACGCTGTCATGTTTAGGTCTAGTGGAGACTGTTCTGTTGATGGGGGGAGGGGGGGGTTGTGTGATTGTCAGGGTGGGAGCCCCTGTGTCATTCACATGTGTGTCTCTGCAGTTGTGCAAAGTGTCAGATTCTACTCTATGTGGGTTGTGCTTTCCAGGCAGGTCTTAACATTTGTACTTTTCGGAAAATTTTATCTAATTCCTTGGAGATCATTGTGAAAGGATCAAGGAATCCAGGAGAGCCATTTCTTTAATATCCATTTAAAACCTGTTCGTTTCATGTTAGCGGGACCGTTAACTTGTCACCAAACAGGACTCTGTTTAAAACAAAATTTAAAACTACTTGTGGCCTATATATGTTTAATCCTAGTTAAAGACAAAGCTTCTAATGCTGTTTTTCATTGAATACATTAACCGGCTGTAAAACACAGACCTTTATCAACAGCAGGCAAAGAATTTCAGGATTCATATACAGATAGACGGGAAAGTCATGTAATTTGAAAAGCAGTGTTCCGTTACGAAAGAGCTCTCAAGTTGCTTGTAAAGCTAATCTAATTAAAAAGATGTATAAATGTTCTTGAAAAATTATGGTTGTTATTTCCAGCTGTCTTTTTTTTTTCTTTCGGTTTTTAAATCTTTTATCCTACACGGACAGTCTTAATGGGCCCTTCTATCAGATAATGTGCTTTTCTGTCACACATCTCTGGCTCAGTCCAGAATGTCTGGGATGATTTTTTATAAATGATAACGAGGGAAAGAGAGACACCAGTAAACACAGTAAACAATCCTAGAGACGTCCTGGGGGTGATTGGCCTGTCCATGGGATCCATGAGCTCTCCGTTTGGATTCTCAACAATTGGATTCTTGCCCTTTCGACAGAATTTTTAAAACTACCCTAACACCAGGGCTGCTGAGCATATCTGTATCACCCACTCTGCAACAAACAAGAAGGGGCATCAGGCATAGATCTATAATTGTCACAGGTGTCCTATCTATGTGTGCACAAAAGTTTACTTTGTGTGGTCATGGACTAAAATATAAGAGCTCTTGTCATGTGAGATCAATAGACACGTTCCATTATCTCTTATCTAAGAAACTTTTAGTGTGGTGTTCTCATTATTTTCCAGCCTCTCTCTTGGGGCATTTGGATAACTGTACTGAAATAAAGCTGCGTGGATGAAAGGAGAGGGCAGATGAGTCTGAGACGAAGACTAATGAAATTAGGTAGTGTTGTGAAAAGAGCACAGGACTGACAAATCTCTCTTCAGTTCTGGCCCAGGAACTTAATTATGTGACCGCTGGGGACTTCTTCATCTGAAAATAAACACAGTAGCTCCGGACCTGCAGAGCTGTGTGAGACCTAATGAAGTACAGATTATTTCCCAAGGTGCACATGGCCCAAGGATGGAGAGCTCCGCTGTGGCTGTAGACTCCGATGGTCAGTATTTGTACCGTACATTTAATAATGGACTTGTAGACTGGAGTTTCTCTGTTAGTTTATAACCACGCAGGAGTAAATGCCCAGTCTCCACTACCACATCTGAAGTCAGGAATATGTTCCCCAAATTCTGCTGTTGGTTTTAATGCATATTCTTTTCCTGATCCACCAGCAAGTAAATTTCACTTGAAATAGGGCAAGTGCCCAAGGATAAACCATTGGACCAGTGATGTTCGTGAAGGGCCTGGCCTCACGAGCTGGAAAAAGTTTTGTAAGGAGAAAACAAGAAGAAACCACTTCCCAAGACAGGTGGAGCCCTAACAGCTGCCAGCAGCCAAAGCACCTTCTATCGAACGGGTGATCTTTTAACTCTGAACAAGGTGTAAAGTTTATTAGATAGGGCGTTACTGGATCAGGTCTTTTCACTGGGATTAGAACCTGTCCTGCCAAAGTTAATTACTGTTATTATCGAGTTCCATAAAATCCCTCTACATTTTTTTCCCTCAGAACCAGCAGAGTAGGCCGAGCAAACCTCATCTCCGTTTAGAATTGCAACAGGATAGCGCAGTGATTGGCTCACAGTCACGGAGCTAGTAAGCGGTAGTGAGCATCGGCTTTCCTTTCCTTGTGTAACTTTTTAAAAATTATTTTTTAAGTAATCTCTGCACCCAGCGTGGGGCTCAAACTCCCAACCCCAAGTTCAAAAGTGACATGCTGTACTGACTGAGCTGTCCAGGCGCCCCTGTTTTCATAGTCAAAGCTATACATGTACATGTAGCCAAGTCAACTTGTTCTGTAAGGGTTTTTAAGGAAAACAGCCCCTCCTGTTCTTCATCTGAGAATTTAACTCTTACGTGACTCTTTGGGTTTAATTAGTGGCCAGAAGAGGTCTAAGTAACATAATCCTATTGCTCCATGTTGGATCTTCAGTGTGAGACCTTATGTACTGATCGGTTCCCCACATGAAAGATAAAAATGTAGGTTCCTGTCCGGCCTCCCTCACCATCCCTGCCAAACATGTACAGCACGCCTCCATATCCCCCCATCTTCCTTTTGTAATTCTGTCGTAACCTAGATCAGGTTGATAGTCAAGACTACTGGTGATATTCAGAGCATGGTTTACACGGAGGAAATTGTGACGACTTTTCTTCCACAGTTTTTGCTTTTATCCTGATGTCCTGATTTTTCATACTTTTCCTGTGGCTTCTAGCCTGCAGCAGTCCAGAGCGGCTGTCCTCTCTGCCTGGTAGACAGCCGTCTTCCTGAGGTCTCCTTTGCCCATTGTTCTGGAGACCCCCTCCACCACTCTCTGTTGGGTCTCCTGTTTCCTGGATCCCTTATCTTCCCCTTTCTCGGCTGATTTCCTCGGTCTGGTGGAGCATGTCCTTCACATGTCTTCCTGGGAAAAAGCGTATGTGGGTGGTAAATTTCCCAAGACCAGTGTCTTTATTTTGCCCTCACGCTTCATTGGTAACTAGAATGGAGCTTACCATTCAAGTTGGGAAATCATTTTCCTTCAGCGTTTTGAAGGTATTGCCTCACTGGTTTTAGGTTCCAGTGTGGTTGCAGAGAAATCCGAGGCCGTTCCTACTCCTCACTCTTTATATGTAGCCTGCTTGTCCTCTGTGGAAGCTCCTGGAATGATTCTTCGCCCCCGGGTCTCTGTAGTGTTACAGCATGCTTCAGCACGATCCTCTTTCTCAGCCAGTGTAGCAGGCACGCAGACTGTACCTTCACGCCCCACATTTGAGGATGTTTTCTTAAACTATGAGATTATTTCTCCTCTCCGTTGTCTTGCTCTTTCTGGAACTTCTGTTGTCCAGACAGGGCATCGACTGGTTTGTGCATATTGCTCTTAGTTACCGTGTGTCTTTGTCCTTTACTTGTTTTACATCTCTTTTCCAGTTACGCCAAGTGAGGGTTTGGTGTTAATTTCCAAGAGCTCTCTTTTCTTCTCTTAATGTGTGTGTGTGTAGGATACAATAACCTGTTCTATTTAATAGATACAGTATTTAACCTTACTTTGTGTTTAATTTTTCTCTTTCACGTTGTAAGTTTTGCTCAGATGTCATAATTCTTGTGCGTTCATATTTAAGGGGAGGTAGCTGGGCTTCTGGTTTTCCAAGAAATATTGGCAGCTACCTAAATCTGAATCTCTTTCATAACCTTCCCAAGACCATACAGACAAGGAGAACCAAGTAAGTTCCCTGTAACGCATACCTGCAGTGTAAGTGGGAGACACAGACAGAAGTTCAGCTTTCAGGAAAGCAGAGAAATAAGCATCCGAGGCCAGCATCAGGACCCATGTGAAGGCAGAGTCAGGTGGAAACTGTATGATAAGGGGCCGAGGGCAAGAGGGGCCGAGTGGTGGCAGTACATGGGGGGAAAAGGCAGGGACCCCACCACGAGTGATGGAAATACAGTCCCGGCTGATGATGGTTCAACTTAAATGATTTTTTGACTTCACAGGGGTGCAAAAACAATGCACATTCAGTAGAAACTGTACTTCGAATTTTGAATTTGGATCTTTTCCCAGGCCAGCAATACGAGGTACATACTCTCTCATGATGCCGGATGACGGCAGCGGCTTCAGCTCCCGGGCAGCCATGCAATCACAAGGGTCGACGACACGCTTCATACCATTCGGCACCCACACAGCCATCTGTTCAGCACAGCATTCAGCTGATTACATGAAACAGTCAACACTTTATTATAAAATAGGCTATGGGGTGCTTGGGTGGCTCAGTCAGCTAAGCATCTGACTTTGGCTCAGGCTGTGATCTCATGGTTTATGAGTTCGAGCCCCAAATTGGGCTCTGCGCTGATGGTACACAGCCTGCTTGGGATTCTCTCTGTCCCTCTCTCTCTGCCCCTTCTCTGCTCTCTCTCTGCCTCAAAAATAAATAAATTTAAAAATTAAATAGGCTGTGTGTTAGAGGACTCTGCCCAACCACAGGCTAACATAATTGTCCTGAGCCCGTCTAAGGAAGGCTGGGCTGAGCTAGGATGTGGGGTAGGTTAGGTGTATTAAATGCATCTTCAGCTTATGATGGGTTTATTCCACTGTAAGTTGGGGAGGATCTCTGTACTGCTAAATCTGACACCAGTTCACCAGAGCACTGGCCACTGGGTCATCAAGAAGTTTGAAAGTTCATGAGATTGCAGGTGGCTGTTTGGGGAAAGTATTGTTTGTTGGAGGAGGGGCTGGATGGTAAAGTGCAAGAAGGAAGTGGGGGGAGGGGTGGGGGGGCTATGGGCAGGGGGAAATCACAGAATCAGAAGAGAACCACCCTCCCAGCTCAAATAGCAAAGTGTTCCCTCTGAGGAATACTGCATGTCACGGTACCAACAGAACACTCTGGAATCATACCCAGTAAGCCGCACAAACCCCTCATGTCTGCCTATATAGAGCCAATTTTCTGCAAGTCAAGAGAAAGAATGCCTTTCAAAATGAGCAGAAAAAGGAAGACAACATTTATAAACACTGCCATAGGAAGAAGACAAAATGAGAGTCAATTCCAGCTGATGAAAAGCCTCTCCTCAACCAGAAGGCAGAGAAAAAACCACAAGAGCCAGGCTGAGTCAAATATCCTTACCCAGGACTTTGCAGAAATTAAACTTCACGCCGGAACTTGAACATTCAAAATGTCAGCACAGAAATGAAACAAAAAAAGAAAACCTTCAACGACCTGTAAAAAAATGAAAAAGACAAAATCATCTCATGATTAAAAGGTGAACAAGGAAGAACAGATTCAGGGAAGGGCAGTGAAGAAAAGTAGGAGAGCAGGCAAGGGTACACAGCAGAAGTTACACAGAGGAAGCAGAACGGGTGCACACAAGTGTGTGCATTGTGGTGCGCTCACACAGTGACGAGAACGGACGGGCTACTGATACACAGCCTCCCCTTGTAGATCGAATGGAGGTAATTGGATATCTGGCATTAGGATGCAACTGAACAAGTGTGGGTGGGTCTATCTTCATAAATGAGTTCCCGGAAACCATTTATACCTGTGTAGGTAAACACATTTATATACTGAAAAAAAAATTTTTTTTTTTGAAGATTTTGAGTAATGTCTCCACCCAACATGGGACTCGTCCCTGAGATCAAGAGCTCTACAGACTGAGCCAGCCAGGCACTCCTCTATTGTTA